TTCACTCCCTTTCTCCCAGAGGAGGACAAGAGTTTATTATTATTGTTAAGGCTGTTGTCAAGCAAACCTAATCTCTGACCCTGCACAGAAAATCCCACGTGAATATAACAGGAGAAACAAAATACTCAACACTTCTCAGTATTCACACCAATCAGGAATTTTCTCAAAACAATAAACCCTCCTCACAGCCCATGACACAAAAATACATGCTCTATTCTCACAACACATTTGTAGATGGACACAGCCATGTGCACACTGAATGTCACACACTCCAGAATAGACACACACATTCACCCTCTCCCAACCCTCTGTGATTATCCAGACTCCTGCTCAGCTACTCTTGCCACCTCTGCCAGTGCAGCTCTCACCACCATATCTCAATATAGCTAAGGCCAGCACTGTGTCACTTGACATTGTCAACAAGTAACACACAGCACTTAGCACTACTTCAACATCAGGAGCTTAATATCCCTCTTCGGAGAGAAGAGGTGTGTCTGCGATCAAAGCCAGGGGAAATAAAAAGGGGTGTTCATTACTAAGTGCAGAGGCTTCTGATAACACGTGTCCCGTTTCTGTGAATGTCAATGCAAACTCGCGTGGACATACACACACCTTGGCACTGCTGTGTTTACTTTGAGACTCTCAGACTTACCTTTCTGCTTAAATTTAGTGTCTTGTTGTTGGATAGAACTGCCATGAAAGCATACCGTACATGCTAGAAAGTCGGTTTCAAGGCTGGGTCAGACTTTGGACACATGGTGAGCTTTTAGTGATTTAGCTGCATATATAACTGTAATGTTTCATTACTATACCAATCAATTAATTCATCATTTAGTGTATGCACAGTCACAACACTGTGAAAAATTGCCCATTTAATTTCCCACAGCCCAAAGTGACAGGATATTTTATCTCGTCTGATCAACAACTTAAAACCCAAGGATATTAACCTTGCAATGATATAACACACGGAAAAGCAGCATATCATCATATTTAAGATGGTGGAACCTGGAGAATGGTATTTAAATGAACTATTAAATAGCTGATTTTCAGTCAATCAATGAATAGGCTAGATTAATGCACTAATATTTTCAACCCCTGAGCTTTATAAGGAAAGCTCGATGTTTGACTTCAGTGGTTTAGAAGAATGTGCTAGTGCAAACAACACAAAGAATTTGCTACTGAAGGACAGTTTAGCAATTCTGATAACTGCAAAACTGTTTGATGGACTGGACTGGTGGTCATGTGTCATCATTGATTTATGACTCACAACTCACCATTCTGCTAAAAAAAAGTTTATCCTTAGAGGTCTCACGGGATCAGGAAATTGTGGTGTATGAGTGCGTGTGTGTGTGTGTGTGTTGAACAAATGTCTGCATGCATTCCTAATAAAAACAAAAATATGAGCTCATTAAACAGGGGGTGGTGGGCAACTGACTCACTGAGGTCATAGGACAATAAAAAGCCATTTAGGGATCAAACATCAGCTGATGCTGGTTCGTCAGTGATCAAATAAGGTGGGTCTTCATTAGGAGCCACGCTAAGAGTAGAGACAAGACAAAGCAACATGCTTAAATGTAGCCCCTTATAGCCCATGGGCATAAGCAGCTGTCAGCCAGCAGATCTCCTCAGTGAGTTATGGTGTGTACAATGGCGTGAAGTTGAGTCGAGCTGCCCTGTGTGTATGAGAATGTGTGCATGTTTATTGTACGGTGATGATTAAAAAGGACAGATATTGTGGCGCCGCTGGCTGTCTGGTTGCCTCCAGCAACAACAGGCCCACCTGTTGATGTTATAGCTTTCAAGGTCTTGGTTCATAGTTATCCAAGATCCCTATTCTGGAACTGGCACACTCCCCCTATTATGTGAGAAGGAACTAAGCTATTCACAGCAGACGAAAGCCAAAGAATTTTCCATTCAAAAACAACCACTTGTTTCAAACTGATGGACTGACCTAACTAAATACTTGTGTACCAGAACCACCCTCTAGTGGCAAGATGGAAATATACAGAACTGTACAAATCATAAGTAAATATTCATGAAGTTTAACCAAAACAAATTCCCCATATATGCAGGTTACACACAAAGTTTTGCTGTTTTGTAACACAAAAGCCAAACCTATGGCTTAACTGTGCAGTGACACTGGGGTTCAGAACCAAAAGTGTGTACAAGTGTTTGTTTGTCAAGAGATTCTACTGACTGCAGTGACAGTGGGTGGGGTGAGATGGACAGCTATGGGGTCACTAGAGGTGCAGGTTAAAGTCCAAAGGACAAAAATGTGTAGGTATGGTAATGATTCTGTAAGACGTGTGACAAAGACGCCCAGGGGGTTACAGAACAGAGTGCACATGACTTATTTAAGTCATCAGAATACACTTAATTTAAAGATACAAGCCCCAGAAACATGCAACGGCAGGACCAATATAACTGATGACACTAAACCACAGCAGGGGGAGGCTGGAGGGTTGGAAGGAGAACCAGCCAGTAACTAGTCAAGATGTACAGCGTACAGCATACAGATCAATGTGAAGCGTGGACTGATCCTGGTTATGATTGATGTTCGTCTGGTTCACCCGACCATCAGCTGATGCAGTTCACGATATTGAATGCATGTCATGTAGCACAAAGCATACAGCCCAAATACGAAATATGCATTCATTTAGAATAACTCAAATATTCATATGACACTGTTTTCAGCATCATCTCTCAAACATGCTCGAGTCAGTGGAAAAATTATATGTCACATGTACTGCATACACCAGAGACCCTCCATATTCTCCTCAGACTTTCCATTACCATACAGAGCACAAAAATCCATAGCGTGTTAACTGCTGACAAACCAACTTAAAGGAATCCAACAAAATCATGGTAAGCTTGCCAATCAGCCTACAGATAAAAGTGCAGAAGAATTCCCGCCATCTCTAGCTTCAATACATCATATCACATGTCCTCAGCTGCATTGCATATTCCGCTTCATGTGATGCAGAGTCCAGTGGGTGAGAAAGGCTCGCAGGCAAAGACAAGGCAGAACCCTGCAGACGAGAACACTGAGTAATCAGTGCTTTCACCAGCAAATCAGCACTGATACTTACATAAGAGATCTACTTCAAATGTGCAGAAGTGAACTTAGTTGGGAAAAAAAAGATAAACTGGAGGTTCTTGAAAATAAAGCCACCATGGGACACAGCTATATACGGTAATGTTGAGAGAAGCAGCACAGGTAATGTTGAAGCCTTACACACCAACTGCTCAAACACCAGCAACATTGCATTTTTCTACAGCAGCAACTCACCATTAAGGATGCCAACAGCCTGGTGTGGTCAGACAGAAGCACTGTACTGGGCAGCCTACAAGTGGCTCTTGTGACGGACAGGGGGTGCAGCCCGCTCAGCCAAACGACTAACTGAGAGGCCTTAAATGTCTACATGGACAGACAGGCCTCCACATTATTTATTACTGCAGCAAAGGCAGGCTTCCTCAGCAAATACACTATAGTGTGTGTGTCAATGAGAGTAACGGCTTAGGATGTGCTGCAACCCTCGAGACATCCAACATTTATGCTGTGCTATGACACTCCAAGGAAGTAGCTTTAATTTAAATCAATATTAACATTTAATTTCCTCACAGATAAATTGTTAGGCCAACTTTCCAGCTCCTCTCCAGAGTTAGCATAAGCTTCAAAAGTAATCCTAGGGCCATAATCCTGTGTTCTATTTCCTATCATACTAAAAGGTTAATTAAACTCCTACAGTATCTTTTGAACTGACACTACGATAACACACACACTGCAATACACCACCATGCACATGCCAGTGAAATAAAGGCCTGTTGTAACCAAGTGTGCCTAAAATATGATTGTACTTATGTTAAATATGTTTATGATATTGTCAGTAACATCGATCCTATTTATAAGAACAGCATTTGAGAATGAAATGAATTGGACTGACTAAATAAATAAAGCTGCTAAACCCATAAATTGAAAAAGGCTTGAAAAAGGCTTGAAATTGAAAACTGCTTTTCCTAAATGCAAAAATAATATATGTTGGGTAGAGCACCGTCACCATGATGACAGAGGTGAAGCTCCAAGATAAGACGATTCCTATGTTCTGCCTGAGCTAATGAGATAAGAAATGCTCACAGCCACTGGACCCCTGATAAACACTTTGTGGTGGGGGGATAAAGGTGCCCACTAAGGGCAGAGCATCCCTTTACAAGTTGCCAATAAGCCAAAGAAAGAATTAATGAATACTTAATGTAGGGTTTAGTGGCTCACATGTCCACAGCAGTGCATTATTTAATCAGCATAGATAAAATGACAGTAAATTCAGTAAAAGCAGAGTAAGAGCTACATCTTAATGTGTTAAGTTTGCTTGTATTATAATGCATTTAATGCACTAAATAAATCTGACTTTTGTCAGTTAGTCAAGATCATCATTTAGTTTTGAGTCGACATGATTTGCTGACTGACAACTGTAGCTGACACTACATTAATTTTACTAGCTAATCATTTTTTTAAAAGTAATCAAATGTTATTTCAAATTTCCAGTACAATAAATGTATTATCCTGTTAAATAAAGAACAAAAAAATATGTAAAGTGACAAACATTTTAATTCATATCTCACCAACAACAATCTGCAGCCATTTTCCATTCTGCACAAAGTGAACCCCCTTTAGACACTTGTATGATTTTGTCCATATATTCTTGCATATTACACAGTAAACAGATTAATAAACAAAACACATTTATCAATGAATTCACTTAGTTTCAGCGATAGTTTAGTTAAAGATATTGTCATCAGTTCAACACGTGCACGCTAAAGGACACCTATACAATATTAGCCAAACCTCCTTCAGTTCAACTAATGTCTCATCAATAGAGACAAACCAAACTGAGAAACAAACTAGAGATTCAGAATCTTCAGTGCCACAGCACAAGCAAATTTATCTGTAATAATTTCACAC